ACACACACAAAACTCATCATAACAGCTAGTTAAAATCCTAAACACAACGTGTGCTGTCAGTGAGAAGCAGCCTAACTAAACTGAAGCTAGTCAGTTAGCCAGCTAGCCACTGCTAATCAACAATTAGCTCATTTTCTGCCACTTTATCTTTAGAATAAGCGCTTTACGAGCCTCAGAGGCTTTTAAACGCTCCCACGCTGAACACATAACAAACCCGAACGCGTGTATCGTGTCAACGCGGACGTTTTCTTTCATTTTAGTGTTTGTTGTGAGTTTCCCGAGAGGGTAAAAACCAACTTACTTGCTGTGAGTCTGTCAGCTGAGCGACACGCGTGCACATCCGCAAACTACAGCCACATGGAGCAGGCCGTCGCTGGAGAGAGCCACGCCCACCGCTTCAAACGAGCCACGCCCACCGCTTCAAACGCGCGAGTCAGCAGCGCCTCAAGTGACGAGCACCTGCTGTAGGTTTACTACTAGTAGTCTTCTGTATTTAGGTATTTAGGAAAACAAAAATATATATAGAATTTAATTTAATGTATTAATATTAATAACGTACTAATATTACGTAATATCACGTTACAAAACGTATTTTGTCGTAGTGCATTTAATTGAATTTATATTTTTAAATAAAATATAACATTTAAAAAAAGAGCAAAAAACACGAAAATAATACACTGAATGTAAACAAAAATGCAAATGTAATTAAGACAGAATTCTGATTACGTCAAAATAAAACTGTATAAACATTTTAAATGTCTGTGATAAATATAATTATATAGACCTATATATACATATATATATATATATATATTTGTGTTTTTTTTTTTTTATAATATAATATAAATAGAATTAAGTCTTTTATGAAGAATTGGTAGAGAGCCAAACTATTATTGGTCTACTAAATATTTCTGTTATATTATTTTATATTAATACAAATTAATTAAGCATTCAATTCATTAAAATGAATAAAAACAAGTTTATCGTAGTAAATTTAATTTAATTTATAATTCATAAAATAAATATTAATTAAACATTTATATATAACATTTATATATAAAACAAACAGTATATAATTATTACTAATTATTTCATCCACTTATAATAATTCAACAGTTATTGTAGCACATTTAATTAAATTTATAACTTAACAAATAAAATATAATAACATGAATCAAAAATACAACAAAAATAATGAAGCAAAAAAAAAGAAAAAGAAAATGTGATTAAGGAAAAATTCTGATTAAAATCTCAAAAACTCTAATCCCTGTTATATAAAATATATTATAAGTGGTAGAGCCAAGCTTGTATTAGTCTATTAAATCTTAAATTTTTTTGATAAACAAAAAATAGGCAAAACATTTTTTGTCATATATTTTATTTATGTGTGAAATAACATAAAATGAAATAAAATTACTGCAAAAATAATACACTTAATGTAAACACAAAAAGTAAATGTAATTAGGGTAAATCAATCAAAATGTAAAAAAAATGTAATTTCTGTGATAAATATTAATATTTTATAAAGAAGTGGTAAGCTACTATTATATTAGATTTTTTATATTATAAGTATTTTGCTTCTTTGCATGGCACAGAATAATATGTTCATTTATTTCTTTATTTGCTCACTGGTTCATCTGTAAAACATTGCTCATGTTCTAAACGATCTAAAGAAACGATAGTAAAAAAGGTTTTTCTTCACATAAGTAACAGTTGCTACCAGTTCTATCATCACATCCTTGTCATTGACAGATAATTATGATCAAGCATCACTAATTTATAACAAACAAGGCGGCTGGAGGAACACATTAACCTCGACTAAACATGAGCCACTATTTGACTGATAAAAGTTTGGTGAAACCAGGTTAACAAACAAACAGAATAATCAGGGGCGTCATGCACTCATTATTTTTGAGGGCGC